CATATATCCAACAGGATAACAGATGGCAGGTCTTACACAAAGCATAATATACATTAGGCTTCCCAACCTTTCTTTGTAAGGCTTATTGAGATTAACTGGTTCTTTCTTCTGTTGTAGTTGCAAACCTTTTTACATTGGACTTCTCACAGGATTGCAGTCTGCCATACCAAACTGAAACAGTACTTTATCAATACTGGCTTCTTGTGATAATTAAATATGATTACTAAAATTCTCAATTTTAATGCCAAGAAAATATTTCAATTCACCACAATCGGACATTTCGAATTTTTCACTTAAGATACTTTTCAACCAAGTAATTGAGGAAACTTGTTTTCCAGCAATAAGCAAATCATCAACATACATAATAACGATTAAGTAACAATCACAAGTAAATTTTGTGTATAGGCAATAATCATGGTTTGATCGGCACCCTGAAATTGTGCATATTGAAACTGTGCATACGAAATAATGCATATGAAAAAAACCGAAATAATGCATATATGCACAGTTTCGGTTGAAAACCGAAATAATGCATATGAAAAAAACCGAAATAATGCATATATGCACAGTTTCGGTTGAAAACCGCAATAATGCATATTAGAAAAACCGAAATTATGCATATGCACTCTTTCGTTTGAAAACCGAAATAATGCATATGAAAGAAACCGAAATAATGCATGTGAAAAAACCGAAATAATGCATACATGCACACTTTCGTTTGAAAACCGAAATAACGCATATGAGAAAAACGAAGTAATGCATACATGCACAGTTTCGGTTCAAAACCGAAATAATGCATATGACAAGAACCGAAGTAATGCATACATGCACAGTTTCGACTCAAAACCGAAGTAATGCATATGACAAAAACCGAAATAGTACATACATGAAAACAAACTTCTTTCTGAGTAGGGATTATAACCCTTACTAAGTAGAACTCTCCTTTCTGTGTTGCCGGAAAAGCAGGGCGGAAGTATTTTTGCGCAGAACTTTTTTCTGCGTAGGCGGCCTTCGCCGCGCTTAGGGATTATAACCCTTACTAATAGAATTCTCCTTTCTGTGTTGCCGGAAAAGGGGGCCGGAAGTATTTTTGCGCAGAACTTCTTTCTGCGTAGGCGGCCTTCGGCCGCGCTTAGGGATTATAACTCTTACTAAGTATAATTCTCCTTTCTGTGTTGCCGGAAAAGGGGACCGGAATTATTTTTGAGCAGAACTTCTTTCTGCGTAGGCGGCCTTCGGCCGCGCTTAGGGATTATAACCCTTACTAAGTAGAATTCTCCTTTCTGTGTTGCCGGAAAAGGGGACCGGAAGTATTTTTGCGCAGAACTTCTTTCTGCGTAGGCGGCCTTCGGCCGCGCTTAGGGATTATAACCCTTACTAAGTAGAAGTTAATAATTCATATTAGAAAAAACGAAATTATCCATATGCACACTTTCGTTAGAAAACCGAAATAATGCATATTACAAAAACCGAAGTAATGCATACATACACAGTTTCGGTTGAAAACCGAAATAATGCATATGGCAAAAACCGAAATACATAAAGCATACATGCACAGTTTCGGTTGAAACCGAAATAATGTCTAAATGCCCAGTTTCCATATGCGCAATTTCGGTGCCCCGTTTGATCTTGTAAAACCAAGTTGAAGTAAATATTTGTTAAACTTCTGATTCCAACATCTTGGGGCTTGCTTTAATCCATAAATAGATTTTCTAAGTTTGCAGGCTTTACCTGATTCCACTTCAACCCCTTCTGGTATTGCCATATACAACTCTTCTTCTAAATCACCATGTAAAAAAGCAGTTTTTACATCAAGTTGATGAAATAATAGATGTTCATGTACACCAACTGCCAGAACAACTCTGATAGTCGTAAGTTTGGCCACGGGAGCATAGGTTTCGCTGTAATCAATTCCTTCTTTTTGTAGGAATCCCTTTACCACTAGACGTGCCTTGTAACGCTTTGGAACACCATTTTCGTCCTCTTTTACCCGAAATACCCATTTTGACTTCAGTAACTTTCTGCCTTCCGGAGGATATATTATATCCCAGACCTTGTTTTTATTCATAGACTTTAGCTCATCTTTAACTGCTTCCATCCATTTATCAGCATCACCTCTACCAGCAATTTCTGAATAAGCTTCAGGATAATCTGTGTAAATACAAACGGCAGAAGTGGCTCTATATCCGGTAAAGTAATCAAAAAACTTACGTGGACGTTGGCGCTTACTGTAATCTTAAAGTAATCTCAGCTGGAGAGTCACTGTCATTATGCGAAGGGAGCGCAACTGCGTTATTATCATTTACTGCATATTCAAATGAATCATTCGCCACTTCCTTTTCTCTACAAGATTCAACTTGATCTTCTTCACGTGTAAAATTTTTAAAAAACACTGCTTTCAGTATTGGGAACTTCTTCATCTGCCACGAGAACGCCATTTTCATCATCCCCTTCTTGCTCGTGCCTACGTATTACACGTAATTCTTGATTCTGTGACTCTTTGCATACTTCATGTTTGAAAGGAAAAACAGTCTCGTCAAACTTCACATAACGTGCAATGAAAATCTTCTACGCATTCATGTCCCAAAGTCTGTATCCATTTGGAGCATACCCAACCAAGACTGCCTTACGACTTTTGGAATCAATTTTCTTTCTTTGTTGACTAGGTATTAGAGCATATGCTTTGCAACCAAAAATTCTAAGTTTACTAACATCTGGTTTGATACCATACCACATCTCCGAGGGTGTGGCTGACCAACTCAATGATTTTGTTGGACTCCTGTTTATTAAATAAACCGCAGTATACACAGCTTCACACCACATTCGTTTCGGCATGTTAGCCTCAATCAACAACGATCTCACTTTTTCAACCAATGTTCTGTTGAAACGTTCAGCAACTCCATTTTGTTTAGGGGAATACGCAACCGTTTGTTCAACTTGAATTCCCTTTTGTTTGTACGAAGCCTCTTGTTCTTTGGAGCAGTATTCTCGTCCTTGATCGACCGCTAATTTTGATATTAAAGTGCCGAATTTAGCAGTTACAATTGCTTCATATTCCATCATTGCTTTGAAAACATCAGACTTCTTTTTGATAGTATACACAAACGCAAAATGTGTGTAATCATCGATGAACGATACAAAATATCTTGACCCATTCCATGCAACTGGATCAATTGGCCCACAGACATCCGAGTGAATCCTCTCAAGGGGTCTTTTATTTCGTTCGCGATGTCCATTAAATGGATCACGACTATGTTTTGCTTCTATGCACACATCACAAAATTTGAATTTTTCCGCCTTTAATTTCAAGCCACATACCATTTCTTTATTTATCGCTTCATCAAAAGCTTGCTGTCCAATGTGTCCAAAACGTTTATGCCACAACTCGACTTTGTCTTCATTACATACATATGCAGAGGTACATTCGATGCCTACTTCAATTTCATATAGCCAATCTCGTAAGTACGCAGTCGCTAGCAATCCTCCATTCTTTATAATATTTGCCTTAGATTTGCAGAATATTACATCAATACCAGCATTCGTCAGCTTTCGGACTGATAACAAATTGTCACGCAATTCTGGTACATACAAAATAACAAGCTGGACTCCTTTGTTACTTATTCCACTTATTTTCCCTGAATACTTAGCGATCAAGCACTGATTATCTTTTGCAACATTTATGAAAACTGGATTATACATTTTAAAAATACCACCAGGAACAAAACAAACTCTTTCAATTCTTGTTTTCTTAACGGCATTACGAGCTTCACCTTGCTTACAATCTTTAGCTCGATTATCAAATTTACCACATTTAAAACACTTCCCTTAAAACTTCGAAAATTTTTTAAAATTTTTCTTGCCAGAAAATGCTGTTTTCTCAATGTCATCTCTTTGACGCTCCAATATTTTAATTTCCGCAGCCAATAGCCTTTCTTTGGCGAAATTAAGGGTCAACTTCTCATCGCTTAAATTTTGGATCAAACTTTTTAGGTAAGGTCAAGAATAATTTAGCCAACAGATCTTCTTCACTTACTAAAGCCCCCGCCGTCTTCAGTTGCCTTACTAAATTTTCAAACAAAACAAGATGGGTCGCTACAGACTCGTCTTCTTTCATACGAAGCGTTGCTAGCTGCTCTCGCACTAAAAGTTGGCTTACAATCGATTTCTTCGCAAATTCCATTTGCAAATTTTCCCACATTTCTCTGCCCGTTTTCTTGTCCCGAATATAGCCTAAGCAACCATTATGTACAAATCCCACTAAACGATCCTTGGACTTCTTGTCCTTTTTCAAAAACTCTGCCATCTCTGCTGCATCATTTGGAGGATGGCCCGTTAAAACCTCCGCCAAGTTGAGCGCTTCAAAATGCATTTCCACTCTGAACTTCCGATTACCGAAGCCGATGCCCGCGAACTGCGGAATACCATTATCTTTCACGTCGCCCATAAGCTATTAAAGATTTGGGTATTTAGGTATTAATGTATCGAACGCACAAAGGAAAGTTCAGGAATGAAAAAATATGACAATATATTTTTTCTATACTCAAAGTTCAAATCAAAGATTGCTATAAATTCTACAGATATCTTTCGTACGCCTAGCGCGCAGACGAGATTTTATAATTTCATAGTTTTAAACGGCCTAAATACCATAACTCGCTTAAAAATAACGAGCTATAACAAAATGGTCACAGAAACAAAATATAACATCATTAAATTATTTTTCATATTTGTATAAAAACGTGGGGTGAAACCCGCGGGTATAAGCTAGTATTTTATAATTTTAAAATTATATTTGTACCTATGCCGCCCTCTGCCAGGTCTCCGAGAGCACATAGTGTAAATCCAGGGCTGGTAATAGCTAATTTCATCAGACTTTTATGAACCAATGTCTCAAAATAGCTAAATAGTCTCTTAAATATATCTTACATTGCTACTTTTCGTTTTTTGATGGTTTTGTAAACAAAAAATGCAAGAAGGTGCTTTAGACATGAAGAAAAAGATTATTAAAGATTAGCAGAGTTTGATTATTATACATAATAGTTAATAAACATGCATAAATCCGCGTACACTAGGCTTTTTTATGTGATGAATAAATTCATAACTCAGGTATTTTCTTTAATGCGACGGTTTTCTTCTTAATATGTCTGCTCATGATCAGAATTTTTTATTTTTTTTTCTACGATCGTAACACCGTTATACGTTTTTCGTTTCCGGTATAAATAGGGGTTATTTCATTTGTATATGACATCAATGCATCCAAGTCAGACATCTCCTTTCTACAAATTCGATAATGAAAAATTGGGAGTGGATTGCCCGTATTAAAGTAGATTTTGTATTATACTCACTGCCAGTCGGAACCATGATCTCTTAGCATTGTAAACCCGTCTCCTCCCTCTGCCAGGAAATCCGGCGCTACGATACGATAAATTTTCGTTGGATCGAAATCCTCGTAGACAGGAATTTCACATTCGGCACAGCGTACTTTTATATCGACTACTCGTTCACCTGCTGTGTTGGCAAAGTTATAGGTTATTTTTAGCCCTGCAACTTGAACAAATATATAGGAGCTAGTGACTCCATTTTCCAAGTCAATCGGGCTAACACTGTATTCCAAAGCTTCTAATAGTTTATGACCAGGAAGATTAAATGCGGCGAGTTTGTTCTCAAACGGCGACATTGTCACTATATGAGCATAAGTGAGGTCTACAAAACAAGTTGCAATTAAAATTGGAGCAGTATACAAATCGTATTCTTTTATTTGAAATGTTTGCTACTCACTGCCTCTGTAAAGTGGAACACGCAAAGCCCCTGTATTCACAATGGCAATGGAAACATTTGTCCAGGGCTGCTCTGAGAACGGGGTTAAACCAGCAAACTATATGTGATTAAAGACAAATAACGTATTTTTTATATTTAGGTATTCGAAATTGTAATATTTACTTACAGCGTGTATCATGGCATCACAAAAGAAATTTCCCAAGTTGCACTCACCGTTGCTGCATGTTGACTTTCTCAATTCAACTTTCGTCTCGCCCTGAACAACAGAGCCCACTTTATCGATCTCTTCTTTAATTGGCTGGAGAGCTGCGACAGTTTCTGAGTCTGAAGGGTATACATCGACGAATCAGAGAATGAGAATATAATAATTCGTTTATAACATAAGTACATATGTACATAAGGTGGTCCCAAAAACCAAAGTTTTTTTTTTATAACGCATACCCCCTCATTTTATTGGTTTTGTCTTAAAAACTATCCAAGTAAATTTTTATGCAATTCGGACCACGGCAACCCATGCCGGCTTGCAGTAAAGGTTATCAAAATAATCTTTGTGCAGTTCGCGTGTTTTGTTAACTTACTCATTTTACTTGTTTTTGTTATTTTTTGGAATTATAACAATTATATTCAACAATTTTTATTGAGCTCGAGGCCGCACAGTGGTTCGGATAGCAGATCTAGTTGGACGAAAGTCAAAATTTTTTTGTTTTTAAAATACTTAATGGTACTTGGAATACATTCCTGACAATACATTCAAATAGAAATTGCATTTATTAAAGCATTAACATATGAAAACAAACAAAAAAAGGTAAGTCAACGCCGCCTATTTGAGAACTCTATTTTAAAAGCTGAAATTTAACTTAAAAGATTGCTAATTGCTCTCACAGATAATTGCATAATTGCAAATTGACTTTATAAACAAAAAATTACACTTATTCCGCTATAGATTCAGAGGTCATAAGGCGTACTTAGCACGGTGCATAGACAACTGGCTGAGTCAGTGGGATCGTCGGTTCGAAGACTACTGAAAGAAGTCTGATGAGGAAATGTGGTGATTTCCGAAATAGCTATCACTTCTACAACTTTTTCAAATTATTGTTGCTTTTCCACAATAAATTTTCATTATAAAGCGGCCTCGAGATCAATAAAAACTGTTGAATATAATTGTATAAGGCCAAAAAATAACAAAAACAAATAACTTAAGGACGAGCACACCTAAAAGTTAAACATTCTAAAAATAGAATTATTAGCAAAAAACCAACAATACCAACAACCACATGATCAAGTGAATTGGCATAACAAAAATGAAAATAGTGGAAAAAAGCAAACGATAATTTACAAGGCGTACTGAGCACGGTGTATAGGCAACTGGCTGAGTCAGTGGGATCGTCGGTTCGAAGCCTACTGAAAGAAGTCTGATGAGGAAATGTGGTGATTTCCGAAATAGCTATCACTTCTACCATTTTTTCAAATTATTGTTGCTTTTCCAAAATAAATTTACTCATTTTACTTCAATATAATGCGGTATTACTATACTCAGTATTCCCTGCTGAAGTCTAGAAAAAAGAAGTCTGATGAGGAGATGTGGTGATCTCCGAAATAGTGCTATAACTTCTACCGCTTAGACTTTGTTGCTTTTTCAATTTTTCCTAATAAACAATCGTGGTACAAAGCTCAATAAAAATATTAAAAATAAAATGTTAATAAGCCACAATAACATTGACAAATACATAGTTTAGGAAGAGCCTGCCTGAAACTATACAAAAAAGCAAATAAGCAAATGGATGTATAGAATTTACAACAACAACCACGCTGTCGAGTTTAAATAGCGGCAAATCAGCTGCACTTGATAGTAGTTGGTTGAATAAGGAAAAATGAATTAGCAACAAGAGTTTACGGGATGTACATAGCTCAGTGGTTAACGCTTCTGACTTTGAACATCGAATTCGCAGGTTCGTTCCCTGCTGAAGTCTAGAAAAAAGAAGTCTGATGAGGAGATGTGGTGATCTCCGAAATAGTGCTATAACTTCTACCGCTTAGACTTTGTTGCTTTTTCAATTTTTCCTAATAAACAGTCGTGGTACAAAGCTCAATAAAAATATTAAGAATAAAATGTTAATAAGCCACAATAACATTGACAAATTAGGGCATAATATTTAGTAAATCTGTGTTTTAGTCAGGTAGTCAGGACTTTTCCCAAAGGACTATAAATTATAATATATTTCCAAAATTTTGCACAAAATATGGATATATGGGTATCAATTAAAAGAAAAATTCAAGGCAAGATTAACTATGACCTTTTGGAACATGTTAAAAATGTCCTTTAAAAATATTATCCTTCAAGATTTTTAACTTTTAATTATTTTTGAAGAATCTTGGTTTTATTTAAATCCTATAATTATATACAGGGTGTCCCAGAACTCAACGTCAAGCCGAAACGGGGTGACAGGATTGATTGTAACCATCATGAGAAAAATCAGAAAAAAAATCTATCCCATGCAGTTTGAAAATTATGAGCATTTAAGAAAGACCTAGAAATTTGGTCAAACTGTAACCATTTTTCGGTTATTGTGGTTAATTTTTATTATTTTTGTTCATTTAAACTTTGGAACCTTAACCCTAAATAACATTTCTAGAACCTAAGTTAAAAATAATGGGAGGATGGTTCCGTGCGCAGAAGTGGAAAACTTTTGACTGCCATTCACCTGGGAGTGGCCAGAAGCGATTCTTGTGCGTACGGTTCAAATCGCAGCTCACAACGTCCGGATATTTATATCCACGTATCCTCTGGGTAGCAACCAAACACCCGTTTGGGAGCGAGCTAAAGTGAGAAGGCGTAAAACTTCGCGTGCGCTGGGTTTGGGTCCCGCCACGTTAAAACCCCGCCCAATGAAAAGAAGCAAACAGCCTCGGATGAGACCCCCTTTTTCTGATGACGACCACGGCAAACGTATAAAGGACTATGATTTAAGGGTATGCTTCTGGAATATCCGGACCCTTAATGGGGAAGGTGCCTCTGCCCGGCTGGTTGATGTCCTCGAGAAGACAAAGGCTGACATCACCGCCATCCAAGAAATGCGATGGACGGGGCAAAGTAAAGTAGCGTGAAGCCTTGCGACGTCTACTACAGTTGCCACGTAAAGGAGCGCAAATTCGGTGTTGGATTCGTGGTAGGAGAGAGACTCCGTCGCCGAGTACTGGCGTTCACCCCGGTGGACGAACGTCTAGCCACAATCCGCATCAAAGCTAGATTCTTCAACATCTCGCTCATCTGCGCCCATGCCCCGACGGAAGAGAAGGATGAGGCGTCCAAGGATCTCTTCTATGAGCGCTTGGAACGTACATATGAGCGCAGCCCCCGACACGATGTCAAAATCGTGCTTGGCGATTTTAATGCCAAGGTGGGCAAGGAAGGGATCTTTGGCGCCACTGTCGGAAAATTCAGCCTCCACGACGAAACGTCCGATAACGGACTGAGGCTGATCGACTTCGCCGGGGCCCGAAATATGGTAATATGTAGTACTAGGTTCCAGCATAAGAACATCCACCAAGCTACATGGCTGTCTCCAGATCGAAAAACGAGAAACCAAATCGATCATGTTGTGATAGACGGAAGGCATGCTTCAAGCGTTTTGGACGTACGTACACTCCGAGGGCCAAACATCGACTCGGGCCACTATCTTGTTGTACCCAAGATACGCACCCGCCTCTGTGCAGCAAAAAATGTGCGCCCAACAATGCAAGGAAAGCTTAACGTCGAAAAGCTGCAATCACAACAGACGGCCAATTTATTCGCCACTCGACTCACACACCTGCTCTCTGAGAGCACTCTTCAACAATCCGACGTACGCGAGCAGTGGAACCACATTTCCCGATCATTAAGTACCGCCGCCGAAGAAGTAGTTGGATTTCAGCGAGCCCGAAAGAACAACTGGTACGATGAGGAATGTCAAGAAGCCGCAGAGAAAAAAGATGCCGCCTACAGGGCCACGATGCGATCGGGCGCAACGCGAGCCATGTGGGACCGTTATAGGGAACTGAAGAAGGAAGCGAGACGTATTTGCCGCAATAAGAAGAGAGAGGCCGAAATACGTGAGTGCGAAGAGCTTGAGATGCTGGCCGACAGGAAGAACGCCCGAAAATTCTACCAGAGGGTTAGGCGACTTACGGAAGGTTTCAAGACCGGGGCGAACTCCTGTAAGAACAACAATGGCGACCTAGTGACCGATGTCCAGAATATACTTAAATTGTGGAGGGAACACTTTTATAACCTACTGAATGGTAGCAGCGCTGAAAGTAGTGAGGAAGACGAACCCAAGTCCCCAGTCGATGATGATGGAGTAGCTGTCCCACCGCCTGACTATGACGAGGTACGAATAGCGATTACGCGGCTGAAAAACAACAAAGCTGCTGGAGCTGACGGCCTGCCAGCCGAGCTATTCAAGTACGGCGGCGAGGAGCTGATTAGGTGCATGCATCAGCTCGTATGCAGAATATGGTCAGATGAACGCATGCCCGACGACTGGAATTTAAGTGTGCTCTGCCCAATCCACAAGAAAGGCGACCCCGCCATACGCGCCAACTACCGCGGAATTAGCCTTCTAAGCATAGGTTACAAGGTCTTATCGAGCGTATTGTGCGAAAGACTGAAGCCCACCGTCAACGAGCTGATTGGACCTTATCAGTGTGGCTTTAGGCCTGGAAAATCCACCATAGATCAGGTATTCACAATACGCCAAATCTTGGAAAAGACCCGCGAGAATAGGATCGACACACACCATCTATTTGTCGATTTCAAAGCCGCTTTCGACAGCACGAAGAGAAGTTGCCTTTATGCCGCGATGTCTGAATTTGGTATCCCCGCGAAACTAATACGGCTGTGTAAAATGACGTTGAGCAATACCACCAGCTCCGTCAGAATAGGGAAGGACCTCTCCGAGCCGTTTGATACCAAACGAGGTTTCAGACAAGGGGACCCCCTTTCGTGTGATTTCTTTAATCTTATGTTGGAGAAGATAATAAGAGCCGCAGAACTGAACCGTTCAGGCACAATACTTTATAAGAGCGTACAATTGCTGGCGTATGCCGACGACATCGATATTATCGGTAAAAACAAGGGCTACGTCTGTTCTGCCTTCTCGGGATTGGATAGAGAAGCAAAGCGAATGGGTCTGGTGGTGAACGAGGACAAAACGAAGTATCTCCTGTCAGCACACAAACAGTCAGAGCATACGCGTCTTGGCACCCACGTCACTGTTGACAGTTACAAGTTTGAAAAAGTGGACGACTTCGTTTATTTGGGAACCAGCATTAACACCAATAATAAT